TAGAGGGCAGTGTCACTGGCCCTCATATGTGGGATCCGAACCGGGGCCCTCTGGCATCCCAAGCGAGTTCTTAACCATCGCGCCACTCGGCCGGCCCCTAGAGCTCGCACTCTTGAGCAAGCTCTTAACCAACTGAACCACTTGGCTGGCCCCGGAGATTTGGTTTTTAACCAAGACAGAAAATAAACTTTTCTTGGTGAAGAACACAAACCATAGTGGTTATTTCAGGGTCGGCAGTGAGTCACCCCCTTTAACTACAACATGAAACAGCATTAATGGTCAACCAGGATATTGTTAAATGAACAAACATTGTATTTCACTCTTCTGTCTTTTTTCTGTTATTACCTAAATCTAAGTGGTACTTAGTGAAAATACTACAAAGAATTCCAATTCAATGAACTGATTAAAAAAAAACACTAACTTTATTTTCATTAGCTTGAAAAACAAAATTTGTTACAATTAATCACGAAGACTCCAAAAAAATTACATTCTGCTTTTGTCACCTTGATAGGATAAGGAATGTTTAAATGTCCTCAAAATACAGGATAGCCAAAGTTGGCAAGTAACAAACTACTACAAACTATGTACTGTCACTTCAAGCACACTGACATATGGAATACATATATATATATAAATTACTGACCAGTTTTTTTGAAGTACAATGAATATAATCACTATAGTTTATAGTCCCAGAAAGGTAACATGCCCCAAAATATAACACAAGATCACAAACATGTTCAGACAAAATAATAAATTCAACTCCTGGGTTCAATTAAGATAGACCGATGGAGAAACTTGAACTTGGAGGATTTGCACAAAACAGCAGAAATGTAAATCAGTACTCACTGGGGCCCCACTTGGGGCTGAGAAACAGCTGGAAGTGTATGGCACAATAGGATTAGCCACCTTTATCTCTCCTCAGTCCCCAATTTGAGTTAGGGAGATTGAGGACTAAATAGGAAACAATACGGAAAAACACATATTATCTGCATAGATATAAATCTTCCATTATGACAAGAATGAACATTCAGTCAAAGCTGTGTGTTTATAGGACATGATTTTGTTTTGAAAGGAAATGTAGGTTTACAAGAGACCCTTGTGTAAATGGGCAGAGATACTTTGACTCAGTTCAAGGTTATTCTTCTTAACCTTGGCTGGAGAGTTGTTTTGAACATGACCATTTTTATAAACCTTTTCGGTCAGTGAACCTAGTAGTTGTTGCAATTTTTGGTTGCTTGTATATTTGGTAATAATAATAACACTCCAAATTATTAACATTTTCCCCTGATTCATGGCTAGAGAAAACAACGGCGTTCCATGGAAGACGATCCGGCTGACCCACAGTCCAAGAGGAGTTAGGAAACAACTGAGCATTTATCAAATTGTTGGACAAGGGTCATCAACCTTACTCTTCAAACATTTAACTGTCTAAAAGGTGAGTGTCTACAACAAGGACTTAGCTCCCCAGCTAGGAGGCAACTCTTTGCCCCTTTCCCTGTCTTTGGCTCCTTTCTATTGGCACATTCTCACACGTAATTTGTTTCCTTTTGTACAGGAAGAGGTCCATGCAAATGTGCAAAAAGGAGCCCAGTAAGCGGGAAAAGGAAGACTGACCAAGTTCAGCTGTGTAATAAGTTTGCAGTACAGAACTCTGGAGAAAAGGGGACATCCAGCAGACACTGAACCTGATGCACCAAAGAATTTCATACATTTTTCCATTGCTTAATTATGTTTGAGAGTTTCCCTTTTACAAATAAACCCATGGTCTGTTAAGAGTCCGTATAAAAATACGAAGCACAGTCTTCAATCTTTAACAGGACTCCGTTTGACTAGCACTGAGAGTGCCATCCTACTGCAAAGTATTTCCAAATCATATTATCTCTCATTCTGCTTTGTTAGAGTCACACATCAAGTATGACTATCTATACTAATTCATTATTATTAAAATCTAGGCAAGCCAACATAAAATCTCAAAGTAACTGCTGGCTACCAAGATCCCACTATTTAAGTAGATTCCAATCCCAATGGTTCAATACAACAAAAACACAAAATAGCGAACATCAAGTTCATTAATTAAAATTACTAAGTCACTGACTTCATCACCTAAGATTTTTCTTATTCATTGCATCCAATAAGGAGAAAAAGCCGCCCCCCCACGTTTGCTTGTTTTGTTTTCTTATGACAGGGATTTACTGCCTCTGAGTATCTTTAAGAGGCTAATGCAAGAAAAAGAAGAAAAAGCACTAGCCTGGGTTTGGGAATGCCAACTCTAGTCCCCGGGCTGCCTTTCTGTGGCTCTGAAGCAAGTCACATCCCTCAGCTTTCTAATCTGTGTGACACGAGGATTAGACAGACTATATGATTTCCAAAGTCACCGTCAGCGTTGTCATTGAGAGTCTGAGAAATCAAATCTTTTCACTTTACAGCACAACATTTTGAAAAGATGGAATTCATGTGAAAGGGAAACAAAAACAACTGTTTTCTAAAAGAATGAGCGTTGTGCCTGATTTCTATCTTCCAGTGTCTCTTTGATTCAAACATCTCACAAGCCACAATGTTCTGTGTAAACTTTTATGTTGAACTTAAAAGTTCCTAGTAGCTTTTATTTGGCTTTTAATGATTGATAGGTTTCAGTATATCAGTATATAACATTTTGGAGAAGCAGAGGTGAACAGACTAGTTTGTTTTCCACCTGATTTTCAGCTCTTCAAGGCAAGGGAACTGTTCTTATCATTTCTGCTTCTTAGCACCTTAAACTAGAAGATGCTCACACTAGTCCACTTTTTAAATGAATTTATTTCTGGTTTCATCAGGCGGCTATGTTGAAAGAACCTAGAACATAAGAGCCAATGCATCATAGGTTCTGCCGACTATCCTTATTAAGTGTTAATAGTTTTCTCATCCTTCACAAATGTTTTCTCCCAACACAAAGACTCATTTTCTTTCCTCACAGTTGTCTAAATAATTTGATCCCCAAAAAGAGGTTATGATTCCTGAAGAAAACATGGCTACTATACTATCAGTTAAATCTAAGCAATAACTCAATATCAAAGAAGAAAAAATGTAGGTAAACTTATTAAAAGAAACTTAAAAAAAAAGAAGACACACAGGACTCATTTCTTACAAAACAGTTATATGAGCTGGATATAAAATAGCCAAAAAAGGACAGAAACCATAATACTTGTAGAGATGCTGACTGATTTCACAATATTAAAAAGTTAATGGGCATTTAGTGGTTTTTCTTTTAGAGTTCATCTTACGGAAATATACTAGAGAGGAGGAAAATATTAATGTTCCCCATTCAGAAAAATTTAATATATATGAACTAATTATATATTAAATATTATATATATTTAATTTTGGTTTAAGTGTTTCTTGAATCTATTCAATGCTCTTGGAAAAAAAAAACAAGAAAAATTCATGTAATTTGCACTGCTTGACTTTTAAAAAAAGTTTTATATGTTACGGATAGAATATTCTTTAACTGCAAGGTAGAGGTGAAAGTCAAGCCAAGTAAGAAAACATCATGGATTTTGATCACTTAGAGAATTACAGTGAATAAATGTTACCTAAGTAAAAGGAAATTTAAAAATCCCCAACTGTTGAAAATAAATAGATTTCCCGGCTTACAGGGTCCAATCTGCAATAAGTTAGTACAACCAGATAAGATTAAAAGCTGGCAAAATGCTGAATTTAGTGGCTATCAGTTAAATTGCCAAATGATGATCTGAATTGAGTAAAGTGCTTATGGAGTCACAAATTTTAACTGAATTTACATTGAGGCTTAGCAGTCATTGGTAGATATATTCAAGAAGAGTTTATCACCTCAGGGTACTTCAGGGCAAGGAAAATATACAAAACTTTTTCCCCCCGCAATACAGTTTAAGTCCTCAGAAATAAATTCTACCAGAATAAGAACATCTAAACCACAAAAACATGTTACCAAAAATGTACAGACACCATGGCCTGAATTTCGGGATTTTTCTCTATTTGTGGTGGCACTAACAGTGGTGTGTTAGTCCAAACTCCTATGTCTTCATATACATCCCAGATGTTCCGGACACTTGCCGTACAAAGAAAACAGAAGTGTGAGCAGACAGTCAGCAGAGCTGCCCGACTGAAAGCAAAGCATTCTTAATTATGAGACTTTCCTATAAAAAAGGCCTTCAAAGTCTGACTAGACCCCAAAGGGTTAAAAAAGATGCTTGCTTCTACTTCAGGAGGTTCAATTATACACTCTGAAATCTAAGTGAGAAACAATTCTGTTTTAGGGGAAAATGCCTACTTTAAGTCAGGGTAAAAAAATTCACCAATAGACAAAGTCTGATTAAAGGATCTCCCCCATCTTTCCCCAATTCATAGAAAAGGAGTATGTATGACTTTTCTTTCAAAGCAAGCTGAAAAATGTTTAAATGGACAATTTTTAAATGGTCTTCAGGAAATCTTAGCATTACCTTTCTAATTTAAAGTCTACAAATGACACACACAAATATGGATGGTGCAGAAAAACTCAACGGGTGGCTGAAGACAGCTTGTTATGCGATAGGCTAGAACATGGTCACAAGCGGCAGGTTATGGCAGCCGCATGAGTCATGGTCAAGCTCACTGCAATACATCCCCCTCCCAAAGTAGCAGCTCTTTCTCGGGGAAGAGACGCCGCCCTAGGACAGTGGTGTAAGCATCACTTTCTTCTGACTTCTAAGTAAGAAAACAACACGCACATAGATTTGTGCCATTTGATTCTGACAGTCAAAGTGAGTTTGGCATTTCTTCCCCAAAGCTAAAGAAAAAAATACTTGCAAAAAATGATTCTCTATGAATTATTTTCTATTTTAGGTTTCTTTTCGTGCAAAAAAAATTTCATGTATACTGAATAACAATTCACCTTTCATCAAGAGATTAATTAGAAGCCATTGTACTAGTACAAAAATACCCACGCGAGATCATTCAAATTTTAAGACTACTTTCTTAAATTCATAAAAATGGTACTGCATGTGGTGACTTTAGTTTTTGGGTACCCCATGCTACACGGAATCAGGGAAATGAACATTCTGGAGGAAGCCATTTTCCTAATTTGCTACTGTTTGAAAATGGTCAAGAGATGCCACACGTTCGGGCTAATCCTTGAATTTAAAGTGCTGTTCAGAATATCAGTTAACATTTTGAACAGGTAACATCAGCCTCTACGCTGCCATGTCCACAGTGCAGGCTTGGGGCACACCTGTGCCTCATCCACTCCTCACCTCACCTACACTCTTAGCAGCAACGCACCAGCGGGGGGAGGAAGAGGGGGGCACATGGGTCTCCATGACTGAAGCCTACCATGGCAGCTGCCTCGCGCCACAGCCAGAGGCCTCACAGCGCACAGTCGAAGGTCTGGGGCTCGCCCAGGGCTGTGGTGGGAGGTTCAGGGCGCCTTGTCTGGGTAATTTTCTGCTTGGGGTTTTTTGTTTCTTCTTCCTCTTCAGTTTCACTTTCACAGACATGAACCACCACGCTTGGTGTCGACTCAGTTCCTGCATGAAGTTCATATTTCTCCCCTGTGGAGATACACAGCAAAAATAAATGTGTTTTTTTTTGTCTCTGGGAACTTCTCATTCTACTCATGTTTTAATTGCTGATTATCAGTTTTTAAATCTTTAAATCCTATGTCACAGTACTTTATCTTGTTTTGGTATTACAGCTTTGATCCTTTTAAGGTTTTTAGGAAGTTTTGCCATTTCAAAAAATAAGCCGGTGAGGAACACTTGAGATCTTGGAGTAAAAATGTAAATGCTATTTACTGTTCTATGAACAGTACAAGTCTGCCTAACTTCAGAATGGTTTTGCCTTGGGAGACACTTGTAATGTTCCAGGCAGCACTGACAATCTCTATATTATAGAAGTGCAGATATCCAAGATGTCTAAAACAACCTCTAATGTCTAAAACACCAAGCCACTTCCCCTCAAAATGACTCTTGTAGGGCCAGCTGAGTGGCTCACTGGTTAAGAGCTTGCTTGGGAGCGCGAGCTCTGAGCAGCAGGGCCACAGGTTTGGATCGCACATGAGCCAGTGACGCTGTGCCCTCTACAGCTAAGATGGTGAACAACAGCTCATCCTGGAGATGGGCCACTGTGAGTCACGGGCGATGGTGTAGGCTGCAGTAGAGTTGCAGTGGGCTGCCGTAAGCTACCGTGCATGGCTGGCAGCCAGCGTGAACTGCCGTGAACCGCTGTCCAATGGCCAGAGACCAACTGACTCACCCAGGAAGAGCACAATGATCACAATACCAACGTGGGCCAGTGAAGCAACGTCCTCCACAACTAGACTGAAGAACAAAAGGACGGCAACTTGTCTGTTCCCCCTGCCCAATTCCCCAATGCTGTTCCCTCCCCTAATTCCCCAATAAAATCTTTAAAAAAAGAAAGACTTGTATCCCCTATGACATAACATTGTCTTAGGCCGACAACTAGTCTGAACCAGTAATGAATGGCATTAATTTATTTTATTATTATTATTTAAACATTTTATTGGGGAATGGGGAAGGGGAACAGCCAAATTGTTGTCCTTCTATCCTAGTTGTGGAGGGTGTAGCTAGCTCAGCTCCAAGTCCAGTTGCCATCCAGCCACCCGTCGGCAGCGCAGCCACTCAGCTCAAGGTGCTGTGTTCAATCTTAGTTGTGGGTAGGCATAGCCCACCATCCCATGCGGGAGTTGAACCGGAGACCTTGCTGTTAGGACCACGTGCTCTCACCAGCTGAGCCATCCTGCCACCTGTTGGCAGCTCAGCTCGGGCACAGCTCACTTGGGAATCGAACCAGCAACTCTGTTGCTCAGAGCTCGTGCTATTAACCAACTGAGCCACTTGGCCAGCCTTCTTTTATTATTTTAAAGGGATGAGAGAGTTAGAGAAATAAAAGAAGGAAAAGAAGAAATTTTTAAAAATAAATATAAGAACGTGGAAGAGATGATATGGTATCACCACCAATGCCTTGAAATATAGAAGTTGTCTGTCTAGTACTTTGATGAGGCTTGGGGAGAAGGCAACTAATATTCACTACAGCCTGTTCTGTACTAGAATTTGTAGCAGTAAAAACTGCAGTTACATTTACTGAGTATTATGCATACATCATTTAATCCTAAACCACACTGAAAGGTAGCTATTATGATCCCTTTTTCATAGATGAGAAAACAGAGGCTGAGAAGACTGACACTAAGAAACCTGCTCAAGATCATCAAGTTAACAAATGCTAGAATTTGAACCCGGGTTTGTGTGACTTTATCCTCCATTCTGATCATTTGTTGCCACTAGTTGGCTAGAACGCTAATTGCTGAATAGTCTTCAACACAAAAGTTTTTTTGGGGAAAAAACAGGAAAGACAGACGTTTGTTACCTGGTCCCAACTTGGAAACAGCACATAGTAAATCATAATTTATAACAGGCATTGCGTCTTCACCCTGCTTCCACCCCACTGGAGGAGATGCTGGAGGGGAGATGAGGAACTGTTTGGTCGGCTGGGGCGGCAGTAGATACGATTTGTCCTGTGTTTCACTCGACATCTGTACCTGCAGGGAAGGAGATACTCAGAGTTTGCGACTGGGCTGTTTTGTCATTTTCATCTTTACGTTAACTGTTAGATCTCTTCGGAGAAAATGAAAAATTTCTCTTTAACAGTCTACATTTCCCAGTGGTTGGGTCTGGGTCTGTTTAGTTCACACCACTGAACACTCGGTGCATAGTCCACGAGTTAGGTGCTCAATAAATAATAGTTGAATGAAAAAATAAATCGATGACTAGATGAATGAACAATGAATGGCAGTAAGCACTAAATTCCAATTTTAGAAGAGATTAGGTTATACTGTCTGCATCTCAAGCAACTCCACCAAGAAATGTTCAGACAACAACCCTTTTTTTTTTAATTCAAAACTAAGACCAAGAAAAAAAATACTTTGAAAATAACATAGTGCACTCAATACATGAGTAGAGACCTAATGCCTTTATTTCACCAGTTCTTCCAAGACGAAACTGGTTTCTCAGTCACATCAAAAACAGAGTAAGTGGGCCGGCCGAGTGGGGCGTTGGTTAAGAGCTGGCTTGGGACGCCAGAGGGCCCCGGTTCAGATCCCACATATGAGGGCCAGTGACACTGCCCTCTACAGCTAAGATGCTGAACAACAGCTCAACCTGGAGCTGGGCTGCTGTGAGTCGCCGGCGATGGCAGGTGGGTTGCCATGGGCTACAGTGTGTAGCCAGCAGTCAGCGTGAGCAGCCAGCAGCCGCTGTGAGCGGCTATCCAGAAGCCGGCGACTGATCTGTCTCACCAGGGAAGAGTGCAATGATGGTGCCAACTTGGGCCAGTGAAGCAACGTCCTCCACAACTAGACTGAAGAACAAAAGGATAGCAACTTGTCTGTTCCCCTTCCCCCAATTCCCCAATAAAATCTTTAAAAAACAACAACAGAGTAAGTAGAGCCAATTCTTGGTAACCCACAGGGTCTTCTGCAATTTCAAAGTCTAAGACAGCCTTTGGGTACAGTGCTATGCCACCTCCCTGTCACCCTTTATGCCAGCAGCCATTCTCAGTGGGGTGTCTCATATAAATCATGGAAGGCAGAAATGGTTTCAGAGACTATCTTCTCAATACCCCCGAGGATGTTACATCATGAGCACCATTCTACATGTCAGAACAGTTAATTCACTGATCTTAAGCTGTTAGGGCTTAACCCTTATGAAACCCCAGCTGAGAAAAGCAGCCAGAAAAATGAATTCCTTTAACTATTAGTCTTAGCAGCACAAAATTAGGAGGATAAAGATGTTTAATAATTTATATATCTGTAAAATAAAGGAGAATGTATTTTTACATTTTTTGTTGATTGGGATTGTTCATTTCAAAGACCTCCGATAGAATACAGAAAACGGAGAAATGGTAACATTTTTGGATGGAGCAGAACAAGTTTGGAGAACAGTGTCCTTTGCACTATGAAGTACCTGTGCAAAATACAGCTTCAGCTTCTTCCCGTTGAAGTCTGTTTCGTGGAGTTCTATTCGCGCTCTTGCTGCTGCTTCAGGTTTGCTAAAATTTATCCGGACTCTTCTAAAGCTTTTAAACAACTGAAATGTAACCTGGTCATCATAGATAGTGAAAAGTGCTTCAAATCTCTCCTACAAATGGAGGAGCAGCAGGGCAGAGAGAATGGAAGGGGGTGGGGAAAAAAAGAAAAACTTTTAAAAAAAGGAAATTTAAATCATGAAGCATAAGCAATGGGAAAGAACTCATTATGATTTGCCAAAAAAGGCATAATTTTCTTGCTGGTAAATAACAGGTATCCTGTTGTTCATATGGTAAATTTTGCAATTTGCACTCATTTTAAAAGTAACTTTATTAAATATTATATAGATTCAAAGTATAAAATAAATGTAAGGCATGAAAAATGATACATTCCAACTACAGAACAAGGTCATTACTACTGTTTGGAAGTCCCCAGTGCGCCACATGTTTCTTCCTCCATCCCATTCCTTTCCTTCTTCAAAGTCACCATTTCTGGAATTCTGTGCTTACCATTTCCTTGCTTTTCTTTCTGGTTTTCCATTTATTTGTATCCCTACAGATTTACTCAGGTTGTATTATTCAAGAACTTGTCTTTCTTTACATTTTGTTCCTAAGTTCTTCCTTCTTGCTGTCTGTAAGTCAACCCTTTTTACTGCTCTATGGTATTTCCTTGTAGAGTCATGCCAGGATTTATCTAATGCTGTTGGAAGTTGGGCTCCCTCCAGTTTTTTGCTCCTACAATGCTATGAACATCCCTGGTACCACAGGCATGTGTTTCTCTGGTGTACATCCTCCAAGTGGAATTCCTGAGCCTCAGAGGTGGCCCATCTTCAACTTCCATAGATAATGCGAACTAGTTTTCCAGTCTTCATACCAATTTACTCTCCAAAAGCAGATGTGTGTTCTAGTTGCTTCACATCTTTGCCAAAACTTAATACATACAGACCTTTATATTTTTATCAATGTGAGGTAGGGGATATGAAATGGGCTCTTTGGCTATACTTCACATTCCTTTGAATAATAATGAGGTTGAGACTTTTCATGCTTATTGGTCATTCAGGATTTGTTTGTTACCTTTTTAATGTCTCATTTACTTTCACTATGATCAGAGGAGGCTATACACGGTGATACCAATCTTTCAATATTTTTGAGATTTGTTTTTTGCCCAATATGTCATCAATTTTCATAAATCTACGTGTGCTTAAAAAGAGTATGTTTTGTACAGCTGTTGGGTCCAGTATTGTAAATATTGGTTTGTCAGAAAAGTCATGACGCATTTTTGCAACAAAAAACATAGAAAAAATACATCATGACTTTTCCGACAACCCAGTATGTCTAGTATATTAAGCTCATGTTTATTAAATTTTTATAAGAGTTTACTTGAGCCAAACTGATGACATATGCCAGGGAGCAAGATATCAAATGTTCCTATGCTTGTGTTATTTAGTTCTACATATATACTATTTTTTTGGGGGGGGGGCAGGGGAGGGTCTATTTGAACTATTTATTGCCAAGAGAGGTCTATTAAAATCTCCAACTAGGTGGATTTTTCTTTGTAATTTGGTCATTTTTGCTTCATACATATATTTTAAAGTTATGTTGTATTATCATGTGCATACAAGTTCAGAATTGTTTTCTCTTCCTCGTGAACTGAACCTTTAATCATTAGGTAGTAGCCCTGTTTATCTTTCTCTCTCTAGGAATGCCTTTTGCCTGAAAGTCTGTTTGTTTGATATTAATACAGCTGGTGTAGCCTTCTTCCAATTATATATTGCATGGAACTCAATTTTCATCCTTTATTTCTATATTAATTTTCTCTTTGTCTTCCTTTCCATTGAATTTTTCTTTTTCTGTTCCCCCCTCTGCATGAAATGTCTAGGAAAGATGCTAATGTGCATTTAGCACCTTCTTTCAAGATGCCTAGGATCCTTTAGCCACAGTTGTTCTTTACAAAGGCAAAATAATAAAACCTTTTTTCTTAAGGTTCATTTGGGAATATGCAGTTCCACAAAAATAGCAGTTTTTGGTAAAAAGTAAAATTAGATTATATATGCCCTAAGGATTTTGAGATGGAACAGAGCAGAAAAGGAGAGCAATATTTGAGTCATTCTAAGAGGCTGAAGGAAAAAAAATTGTTCTTTTTCCTTGTTAATGAATTGAGATAATGAAAACCTAACTTCAATTACCAGAAGAATAGCACCATTAAATTTTCTTTACTAGTCACTTTTATGCCATAGTTTAATAAATGAAATGTAACAAAAGCGAAGAACATTCTCTGTACTGTTAGAAATATTCCTTAGGCTTGCTGATGGTAACACAATAAAAGGAACCTATGAATTTGCTTTGTTTTTGGTCTATGGGAAGACCTTCCAATTATCTGCTGATAGGGAAGTGAAAATCATATATCCCTCATTGATTAACTTCTCTCAATTTGAACATTTACCTACCACTTTGCAATATTTCTCCAATTTGATAAAATATAAAATGACTTGTGCACAAATGTTTATATCCCTTATGATTTAGAATAGAAAACATCATTTATCCTAAAACTTACTTTTGTTCATCACTTAAAAAAATATATACCGGGGAGGCCGGTTAGCTCAGTTGGTTAGAGCGCAATGCTCATAACACCAAGGTTGCTGGTTCGATCCCCACATGGGCCACTGAGCTGCGCCCTCCACAACTAGAATGAAACAACTACATGACTTGGAGTTGATGAGTACTGGAGAAACACAGTTCCCCAATTAAAAAAAAAAAGAAAAAAATATATATTTACTAAGCAACCAACTGCATGTCAGCCCTTGTGCTAAGTGCTGGATTTCCAATGTACTACAAAGGGAGGTGAACTTTAATTTTAAGATCAATCCTATTCTCATTTACTATATTATTTCTACATATTAGAGTAATATGAACAGATAAATGAAATATTATAGCTACAGCAAGAATTTTAAAATAGCGTATCAGTTCTTAAAAGTAAATACAAACATAAATATATTAAATACTAATAATTATTAATATTTCTATTATTAGTATTAGTATTTCCAGGCACATTTCAGTTTTCTCAGCATCCATTTCAAAGATGGCTGGCTTTATCACTTAACAAAAAAATTAGAATTGAGATTTGTGAAATTCCATTGAATTCCTGTTAGATGCTTATAAGTAAATATTAAAAAAAACATTCTCGGGCTGGCCGAGTGGCTCAGTTGGTTAAGAGCTCATTCAAGGGTGCGAGCTCTGAGCAACAGCGGTTCGAGTCCTGGCCCGAGCTGAGCTGCCGCTGAGCTGCCAACACAGGTGGCAGGATGGCTCAGCTGCAAAAAAAAAAAAAAAATCTCACACAAGATATGCAAGGTTTATGAAATACTACTTCTGTAATTCTGTCCATTAGACAGTTTTCCTTGCCCACGGTAAAAGGACCATGTATTTATTCCTAAATTCCCACAATGAATGGTTTCACAGTAACAGTAACACATGCTATCTTACAAACTAAACAGCTACGTGACAATCACATCCTTCTTACTTCCTTTCAAAACATTTTTTTTAAGCATTAACAATTTTTATTTTATTTTATTATAATGGCTTGACCTTTCTGGAACCTCTCTCTGTTCCCCATTCCAAAGCAGAGAAGGTGAGCTTTGTCGTTTTCACTGAGGAACAAACGACGAAAACAATTTTGCTGCATTTCTCTGCCTTGGACTTTAAAAAACCTGAGGCACCCACCACTCCTGTGTCTGAAGAGGAACGATTTCATTGTTGAAAAGAAGCGATGCTTCAACGCATTCAACAGTGAAATTATCCTTGGCGTTCTAAGACAAGGGGTTTTTCACATTCTATGTCTTTCCATAGCTTGAGATAGAAAATTCCATCTGTTCAACATCCAGAGACGGCAGGTTCACCGGTGTCAGGGGCAGTTTCCATCTCCGCCTGGGGATAGGCATGGTGCTTCTGGTTCTCCTCAATATCCCTGCTAACTAAATAGTCAGAGGGGTGGACTTCACTGGCCAGAAAAAACACACATACTCCTAGGCATGATGAATTTAAAACCTTTACTTTGATAAGCTGAGCACTTGTAAAAGTTCCGGAACCTAAATTCAAAAGGGCTAGAGGGGAGCAGCACACACACAAGCACTCAAATCCTTCTATAACCTTTGGTCTCCAGCATTTATATTGCCTTCATAACCTTTCCAGATCAGAAAGAAGCATGGAACCAAATTCAAATTCAAAAAATGAAATACTGCCTATTCAATATTGATTTTTCTGTTTTAATGGCTACTGTGTTTATAAATACAGAGGGTGCCCCCCAAAAATGTGTACACATTTTAAGAAAGAAAAAAACTCTATTAAAATTGTAATACTCAATATTTACTGATAACAAAAGATGAATCCAAGTCACATTTGACTTCTGCAATTACAAGAGGTGCTCAAAGTGGTTACCACTGGCGTAAACTGTTCCAACGCCATAGCAGAAGCAGCCGGACTTGTTGCGCGAGGCCTCCCAGATCTTCCCTTGTGCACATCACACACAGTGCCATCATGTCAAGCTTATCATGAATGCGTGTTGTTAGGCGTGTTGGAGGTTCTGTGGCATACTCACGCCTCCACTGTCGTTACACTTCCTCCACGTTCTCGAACTTCAAATACCACTTCAAAACGGTCTTGTGCTCCTCGGACAACAACCATGCTTCCGCCATTTTCTTTGACTGTCCTGCCTGTCACATGGTGACGCTAGCATTCATTTGATTAATGTCATCTTTTGAGCGAATGTCATACTACACATTGCTACCGTAATTCAACTTCGAAAAGTAATACATAGATAACATCTCTTAAAATGTGTATATATCTTTTTGGCACCCCCGGTATATACTCTGCCTTATTGGAACATGAATTCTTAAAGAACTATGATTTCCCCCCCAAACCTAGACTATTCCCTTCACTATGTACAAGAAAGTGGTCAAACCAATGATGACTCGTTTTAGATGGGAACAAACTACGGACTGGTATTAGGATGGGGATAGAAATATTCCTGATTAGTGTTGGTTACATAAGCAGATAATGTCAAAATGCACCAAACTGCATACTTAAGATATGTGCATTTCACTAGGCAAGTTTTCCC